CTTTTGCCTGTGATTATATAGCTTCTAAACAGTATCCGGTATTTCAGGAAACGGTCTTCGCGTGGTTTGATTGGTCTGCTGTGAATCTGACGTGGTTTCAATCTCCTCTGTCTGGTTGGTTCGTTGGGTGCATTTGTATATTCTACACAAATGAGTGACTTGTGGACATTGATGGTAATTCGTGCTCCTGATTGCTGGAAATTGGGATATATGGACATGAGCAGACACTAAGCCTCACCAGATAGACCAATGCCTTCACGAATAAGTTCCTGACGCGAAAAAATCCGAAATCACACTCAACGAGCCTAGTTTCTCGGCGCATTGACATGACTGTTAAGCAGTTACAGTCTGAGTAACCGCTTCTACATCTGGATGAATGTTTAAACCACAAACATTTATAGCACCACCGGAAGAAGTTTCAGTTGCATCGAATACCACTTCGGATAACAACTCGAACGTGTTTACTAGTTGGGGAAATGTAAGGGGAAGTATCAAAATTCTGATATTAAAGTACTATTTTATACGAAAGTTTCAACTCACAGTTCAGTGCTGGTGGTACCAAAGAAGTGACCCAAAACTATTATAGACCAAATAGAGCTACGCCTATGAACACTTGGAAGTGAAGGTCACCAGATAACCTTACGATTGCGCAAACAGTATACATGACAAGTGACCGATATCAGTTGCTTTATAAACCGTCGGTGAGATAAGGGAGAAAACAAATAGGTTTGTTTTTTAAACGTGGGGCTGGAAAAGTTAGCTACTAAATGGTAATGGGTGATTGAATTAGGATACTGGAAATTACTTTGAATATGGTTTGAAATGACTTCAAGCTCGCAGCCTGTTTGGTTTTGGATTAGGTAAGCTGGCAATCACCTACAAGGGGCAAATTACTGCTAAAGAACAACCTTGGAAACATCTTGAGATAGGAGTGGCCGGTATAGTGTGATGAACATGACTGATGCTCTATTCATTGCTCTATTCATTATTCTCTTGTTTTAATATTCCATATGCTGTACATATTCGCCAATTCGAATACATACGTGCTGGTTGC